GTAAAACAAGAAACAAACAAATTTACATGACTATCGGCTACGAGAGCCAGACACCAAATTATATATTTCGAAAATGTAGTTGTAAAGCCTATAATCTTCCCCTCTTAGATCATCAAGTCAAGAGTCGAAACTGGACTTTTAAAGTCAGTTAACTCTCTTGCCTCGGGAAGATGCTCCTAAATAAACAGGGGCGGTCGGGTAGCCTAGTGGTTAAAGCGTTCGCGCGTCATGCATGCCGAAGACCCGGGTTCGATTCCCGACATGGGTACAATGTGTGAAGCCCATTTCTGCTGTCCCCCGCCGTGATATTGCTGGAATATTGCTAAAAGCGGCGTAAAACCATACTCACATACTCTTAAATAAACAAAGTGTATTTTTGGAGCAGTCGCTACGTTACCTCTTTGAATAAACTTACTGGCACCAGGATTGGTATCTACCGTCGCCTGGTAACATACAAGTTTATACAAGGAGACACGAACCAAGGCTACCCTTCCCATCACTATAGATACTCCAGCGTCTGAGCACTTCCTCGCAACAAGAGAGTTGTCTGCTCGCTCAATGTGTGCATAAAGCTGCTCCGACTTGAAACTCTGTACCAACAGCCTCCCGAACTAAACATGGAGTGGGACATTGACCACATCGATTTCTAGCCTTCGAACACCCTAGTCAAGACGTGGAATCTCAGAGGGGTCTTTAAATCATTGCTGCGGCCTCGGAAAGGTTTGGTAATCCTACATTATGCTGTTGTCCAAAGCCGGTGAATCCAGTAATTTTCACAAGTGTTACAAGAGGGAGCGTCCTATCTGCCATTTGCATCGACTGACTGGTCGTCTCCCAGGTTCTGTGGCTCGGAATAGATAGTATAGATCGGTGTGTGTCTTGTAGTGTGTACAACTATCACACGTCCAGAAACAGAAAGTTTCTTCTCGAAAAACACCAACGGTTGTACAGGTAAGGTGGAGTTCAGGATTACTAGCTGCTTGTTCCAGTCGGGTTGGTTAGTTGGTTGGTTTGTTGTTTAACGCCGCACTCAGCTATATGACGGCGGTCTGTAAATAATCGAGTCTGGACCAGACAATCCAGTGATTAATATCATGAGCATCTATCCACGCATTGGGATCGATGACATGCATCAACCAAATCAGCGAGCCTGACCACCCGATCCCGTCAGTCGCCTCTCACGACAAGCATAGTCACCTTTTACGGCAAGCATGGGTTTCTGAAGACCTATTCTACCCCGGAATCTTCACGGGTCTGTTACAGTCGGGACTTGTACCGGTTTTATAGTGCTAGCTCACTGAGATACCATGCCGCAGTGTAACATAAACACCCCACTCAGACACAGAATACTGATCCGACCAGTCCTTGTTTTTCTCTCCTTAGTGTCGAGCGCTATGCAGGGTAACAACAAGTGCCATCTTTTAGCGGGTTTTTACATTTGACGCGGCCAGGGATCGAACCTCCGACCCGGTTGTTCTCTCTACTAGACAATGGAGGCGGCCACAGCGGCGGTAGAAGAACCAGTTTAACACATTTCTGAAATATGTACATTGAAATATATAAGATATAGCTCACTCAATCTTGGGATTCTCTACCCCGATATAGATCCGTTAATGGGTAACCGGTACAATGTGACCGTGCCTTAGGTGAGGTGAGGTGAAATTGGATTTAACGTCGCGTCCAAGATTGTTGCACTTATATAGCGACGTGCAATGGTGTGTGTGTGTGAGTGTGTGTGTGTGTGTGTGTGTGTGTGTGTGTGTGTGTGTGTGTGTGTGTGTGTGGCTGTTTGTACTAGTCCGGACTAGATGCCGATTTATAGTGCTAGCCCACTGAGATACCATGCCGCAGTTTAACATAAATAATCCGAGCCGACCAGTCCTTGTTTTAGCCCCCTTAATGCCGCGCGCCAGACAGGGTAACAACAAGTACCATATTTTAACGTCTTTTGGTATGACGGGGCCGGGGATCGAACCCCGGACCTTCCGCTCTCCGGGCGGACGCTCTACCACTAGACCACGGAGCCTTAAATATTGGCGACTGAGGTTGTGTTCGACCCAGGGACTTTACCACACATGTACTCCATTGTATCAATTCACGTCTACGTGTACTACAACTACAGCTACTACTGCTGCTACTACTACTACTACTATTACCACTACTACTACTACTACTACTACATCTGGGGCGGTCGGGTAGCCTAGTGGTTACAGCGTTTCCTCGTCACGCCGAAGACCAGGGTTCGATTCCCGACATGGGTACAATGTGTGAAGCCCATTTCTGGCGTCCTCCGCCTTGATATTGCTGGAATATTGCTAAAAGCGCCGTAAAACCATACTCACTCACTACTACAGCTACGGCTTCTACTGCTAGAGATACTACTACTGCTACAACTACCTCTTACTAGTACTACTACAGCTACTACTACAACTACTACTACTACTACTACATCTAACCCATGAATATCCGGATTAGCATAGGTCTTCAGCGACCCATGCTTACCGTAAAAGGCGATTATGCTCGTCGTAAGAAGCGACTAACGGGATCGGGTGGTTGATGCATTTCATCGTATCCAAATAGCGTAAATCGATGCTCATGATGTCAATCACAGGATTGTCTGGTTCAGACTCAATCATTTACAGCCCACAACCATATAGCTGGAATATTGCTGAGTGCGGCGTTAAACAACAAACAGACAAACAATACTGCTACAGCTACTACTACTACTACTACTACTACTACTACTACTACTACCACTACTACTAAAACCACTACTTCAACCACTACTACTACCACTTAATATTACAACTGCTACAACTCGAATGGTTTTACAGGCCACGTCACTCCTTTCAACCCGGCTGACCGGGCTGGTGTCAATGGTCAGTTTTTGACCAGTGACAGTTTTGGCCAGTTCCTTTGTCAGTGTGAGATCAAAGACAGCTTTGGGCCAAAGACAGCTTTAGGCCAAAGACACGCATTCACTTGAATGACAGCAATATATGATTGCAGAAAGACGGCACGCATAGAAAAAATTACCTGGAGCTTCAAGACAATAACACAAATATGAAAGTTTATATATTTAGCCAAACATCATGATGCACGAGTATATATATATATATATAGATATGGAATTGCTTTCTGACATTTCACAGAAACGTAATAACAAACCTCCATGCCGTTCTAACAATTTGTAATATTACACAAAATGAAAACTAATTATTGTAAATCCATCTCGTCTCCCAGTTTCTGCCTTGTTGTCTGCAATAGTTTAAAAAAAAAGAAACCCCCACAGCAGTGTAAGCACGTTCTAGTTTCAACTTATGTCGTCATGTTCGTGTTGCAACTTCAGAACAGATTGTGTTCGTTATTATGACAAGAAACCTCAGATTCTATATAAACAAACGTCTTACATGCAATAGAGCGGTGGCGGGGCCCAGTGGTTTAAGCGTTCGCTCGTCACGTCGATGTCCTGGGTTCTATTCCAATAACGTATGAAGCCCACTTTTGTGTCCCGAGCAGTGATGTTGCTGGATTATTGCAAAAAGCTGCGTAAGACCTCACTCACTCACTCACTCACTCACTCACTCACTCACTCACTCACTCACTCACTCACTCACTCACTCACTCACTCACTCACTCACTCACTCACTCTTATATGCAAAATCCGTGAAGATCTGGGTTAAAATAGGTCTTCAGCAACCCATGCTTGTCGTAAAAGGCGACTATTGGGTCAGGCTCGCTGACTTCGTTGATGCATGTTATCGTATCCCAATTGCGAAGATCGATGCTCATGATGTAAATCACTAGATTGTCTGGTCCAGACTCGATTATTTACAGACCGCCTTCCTCCTACATGAAGGGGACTCTGGTGGCCGAGTCGTCTAAGACGCCGCAATTCGCTGTGCAGAGTTGCGTCCCTTGGGCACGCCAGAAACCTATGGTTTTGGTTCAAATCCCGGTTCGCCCCGATTATGTTTCTAGGTTTGTCAGCACCATACCCGTGCTCGTGGGTGTCACCGAAGTGGTAAACGTCTGAGACCTGCATCACTTCGGGCTTTCCTTCCACATTAAGCTGACACGCCGCGATATAACTGGAATATTGTTAAAAGCGGCGTTAAACCCAACTCACTCACTCACTCACATTCTTACTCTTCCGTGGTTCAAACTGTAAATGAGAGCATGTTGTTTGATGCCGCCGTCAGCAATATTCCAGCTGCATCACGCGCACTTTGAACGAAATGTGTTAAATGTCGCAGTGCGAGACATCCAACTATATCAACGTGGGAAATAATTTATAAATAATCAAATCTAGGCCAGGCAAACTAGTGATTGATGTCACGAGCACGGCATCGTGGTGCGAGGGCAGGAACACGTTCATAAATATATAATAGGATTGGTACAACGACAGTATAGTATATGAAATAGTATATTATATCCTGAATATGCATACCTTAATTCGGTGATTTTTTTTATTTTTTTTTTTATTTTATTTTTGATTTTTTAAAGGGATTTGGAGGCACCGTTGACAATGAAGCAAAATGAGCAAGTTTATTTTCTGTATTTTCCGTCGGTAAATTCCGGCACTTTTCGAGTTTGAGTTTGAGGAAACAAAAAACTCCGTACCCTTTTTAAAGATGATTATTCATATATGCATGCACTACGAACAAAACCTCACCCTGGGAAAATTTATGGCCATCAGCTTAACCCTGTTTCAAAACGTCTATTATCAAATATATATTTACTTTGCGTCCCATTCCGGACCTAATCCGATCCTCGGAAATTTTATCACGTTCAACCAAAGGTCACCAATAGTATTTCGACAGTCCTAATTCCCCCAAGGATGTGCTTTCTGCTCGCGGCGATTGGTCTAAAGCCTCGGTAATTCGCTCAACTATTACCCTATTATACAAATAGGCGGCAAATGCGTCCCCATATCGCGTACACGCGATTCACTCAATGCGCAGGCGCTGCAACTCATTCATGCAAGGCGGTAAATGTGAGAGGATGTAGACAGGCCAGTGCGCGCTGACTCTGAAGCGCTTCCTAGTAGGGAACGTTCTGCCTCTGTAACAGTGTGAGTGTGAGAGCGAGAGGAACCGTGCTCCTCGCAGTGTAGTTCGGGCTCGCAGTCAGTGCTCTAATTGATTGGCAAAGCATGGGATTCTGACTATCTAGAGGCCTAACGGAGTTTGGACATGGTAACATTGTTTTCTACGGCCCTTTGCCTCAGTAATTGGCCGTACTTTCCAATTTAGAGAGATTCCGTCTGGTTGGACAAGTATGCATGTGGAGTTATCAGGATCAAATATGAAGAATGACTTATTTTGGTTGGAACTTCGATGTGGTTTGTGTGTTAATTCATAATTGGAGGGTTATCGCGTTTTTGTCATTCAGGACTAACTGCATATAGACAGAATGACAGTGAGCGAATACAAAAAAGATGATTCTATGAAAGTTTCCGATTTCATTATTGCTTTTTACAAGAAATGAAATCTTAGCCCTAAAAAAGAGAATTTTTGCAACATTAAAAGGGAATCTGTATCACTTCTTTTGTCTCAGACACGATTTGGGAAAAGTTTTGCGATTTTCCGTCCTTTCATTAATTTGCAAGTGACAAAACGTCAGCTAATGTATCACTATAATTACAATTTAAAATGTGTAATTTGAATCAATCATGTCTGAAAGATAATCGATTCTAATAACAGTGAAAAACCATTTTTATAACCATTCAAATCTTATATGTCACCTTAATCTCCATCAGCTAAAAAGGGCGACCAAACCATCGAATAATACATTTTAGCATTTATCCCTTTATCCGAGTGCTTATTACCTCTGAAACGATATATTCTCTCCCTTGGGAGAGAAGGCTTCATATATTTTTTACACACTGTAACCAAATGCGATACATATGTGAATTCCCAGGGTGATCTCGCTTTCATGTATGGTCAGCGAGTGGATCACTACAAACAAACACGGACGCACTCCACGAACCATTCACTCTCTTGAAACGTTACTCCCTTCTCGGAAACTAAACAGTGATTGTTACAAAGCTGTGCGCTCCCCGGAGAAGTGGCAGTCTTTATGTGTGACTAAATAGTATTGCAGGCACTGATCCACTGCGACAGCGTACCTACACAGGTGAATCGCCGACCAATGGCAATTCAGCTTGAATGAGCTTTAAACTAACTGAGTATTAAATCAGAGAGGCTGCAATGATTGTCCACATTAGACGGAGAAGCATCACCACAATGTGTGGGATAGGTCCCCGTTCCGTTGGATGAAGGCAGTGCACAGGGGCGAGTAATCAGGCGTCATGGGACTTTACTCTTCTCGCCCTTAAGGGAACACCGTGTTTTGTGTCAACATTACGCCGAGTGAGCAGAATGTTTCGATTAGCCGTGATAATTCTGTAAGTGGACATTGACCGACTCGGATGTGTCTAGCAGGTGGGATATGTGTTAAACAGCATAGATATGGATTATTGGAGACAATTGGTTGCTTGTCACTCTTTTTTTAAAGGAGGTGTTTGAAGAACGGATTTCTATGGAATTGGTCTTAATATTCAATGTGATTAATGTGTTCCATTGTGGTGTAACGTTGGTAGTCATTCTGAAGAGATCAACGTAGTGTTTTAAAGGACAGTGTTATGATACCTGGTGTGGGGTCGCAGTCGGAACCCAAAGACGCTGTTTTTGTAAACGGGATGAATATGACCCAGTAGTTTGTTCCTGAGAGTTGTTGAAGTACTGGATACAGTAAGTCATGACGTTGCTGTTGATGCTCCTGTTGGTCGGGGCTGCGGGTTCTGATCCACAATCCATCAATGTCGCTGTCATCATTCCACAGAAAGGTGACCAGCCGTTTTCGCATCACAAAGTGTCTCCGGTTTTGGAACTTGCTAAAGTCACCTTACAAAACAAAAACGTGCTTGTCGACGTGAACATATCCATGTATTACGGAGACTCAAAGTGTACCTCCAAGGATGCTCCTATAGAAGCCTTTAATTTCTATATGAAGTCTCAGGTGAACGTGTTTCTGGGGCCGGTGTGCGACTATAGCTTGGCACCCGTGGCCCGCTACGCCCCCTTCTGGAACCTCCCGGTCATCACGCCCGGGGGCTTCGCTCATGACTTTGGGGTGGAGAAAAGGTCGGAGTACCCGACTCTAACCCGTACCGGTGTCACCTTCAACTCCCTCGCCCTGTCGACACTGTCCATGATCGCTGGTTACAACTGGAAGAGGATCAAGGTCATTTACGAAACGAGTGGACACTCGGACACTGCTCCGAAGTTCTGTTTTTTGGCTGCATCGGCGTTTGTGTTTTATAGCAAAGCTAAACGATTGGATAACGATTTCCACATTTACCTGCCCAGGATCCACAACATCGAGTCACTGTTGAGAGATGAGATCGGCAATGAATTTGCAGGTAGGTCAGAATTACATTCAAAGGTGCATGGTCAAACAAGCAAAGAATGCAGTATGGGTTTAAGCCCCTTAACATTATGCTCCAAATTTAAATCATATCGAAAAGTTTTTATATCCTTTATCTCAAACTGACTGCAATCATCTACAGTCATGTCTGTTAACGCCAATATAATGTCCAAACTTTACCTCAGAGACAAGGTTTGGTATCACACGTACAAAGCAATAGATCCCGTTGATCAAAGTAAGGGCACATTTATTTACTGCTCCATCTTGCATATATATCTTGCACTGGCCATGGACCTTTAAAGTAGAACAACACACTGATTTACGACCCACGGTTGTCTTGTATGGATTTATACGGTATTATCTACCCGACTGCAGGCTGACTTGATGCTATATGTTTAAGCAGAACCAGTCAGAGGTAATAGTCAGATTCAGTGATGAATGGAACGCCTTCTCGTCATTATGGAACCGCCGTTGTTGTCTATACAGCTGGAATGGTAACACGGCACCAGAATCAATTTCTTCGTGTATCGTATGTTAGTTAGATAATAAGAAAACAGGTATAATGTACAGTGTGCGGAGCTCCCACTTCCTGCAGACACTGCAAATGAGAGGGATAATAACACGGCAATGCATCAACACTTGGACTAGGCGTGTGTTTCACTGTCCATTCGCGGTCATTAAGATTTGAAGGAGATTTGAACCGACCTCCAATTATACACTGCTTCTCAGCATCTTTCCAGATTCTTCCCCTGTCCTTCGATAAATCCATACCACGCTGAAAGTGAATGTGTGCCCCGTCTTCCGATAATGTGGAAGGATTATTCATTTGTAATCTGGGAGATTTTCATTTCGTGAAATCACTGAATGATTCTGGCATTGTTTGTAGGGGTCAATCATTTAATTGGAGCACGGGTGTCCCTAAATCACTTGAATAATTCCCTGTGCAGATTTATGTCCATTATAAGCATCATTCGAATACCAGATTCGCTCTGAATTTGTTGCCAGGTTTGCCTGCAGTATACTTATACTCATGTGTTTCACCAAAGTTGTAAGCGTCTAAGACCTGCATGACTTCGGGCTTTCCTCCCACATGAAGATGGCACGCCGTGATATAACTGGAATACTGTACAAAGCGACGTTAAACCCAACTTATTCACCCATTTCATGAAATACGTGAAATATCTAAACATTTCATAAAATGACTGCAATTATTCACATGCATATTTTAATCGACGAAAACTACAGTGCGTGGCTATATTTTATTAAATAACAGTAAGCCTTGTGTAACAAGGTTTGCCCGTCGTGGCACGGGTGGACAAGTCGTCTAAGGCGCCGCGATTCGCTTTGCAGAGTTGCGTTCCTTGGGCACGCCAGGAACCTATGAATGTGGGTTCGAATCCCGGTTCGCCCCGATTATGTTTCTAGGTTTGTCAGCACCGTACCCGTGCTCGTGGGTTTCACCGAAGTGGTAAACGTCTGAGACCTGCATCACTTCGGGCTTTCCTCCCACATTAAGTTGACACGCCGCGATATAACTGGAATACTGTTAAAAGCGGCGTTAAACCCAACTCACTCACTCACACACTCACACACCCAACTAAACCATCCTGACACCCGTCCGTTTATTATCCTCTGTGAATAGACTTGGTCGCTGGGAGCCTATTATAACGCGACAATTCTACGAGAGGCAATTAAGCTTGTATACTGATGAATCTGCAATGATGCATTATTTATGTCCGTCAGTATATATGAACTGCCGTAGCTATTTTTAATTTCTATAACAGGCAATTTATAGATTTGCTGTCTTTGGTTCACAGGGATGGGTTGCCAAGCAATAAGAACATAATGATTTTTCAACATGACATTACATATGCATTAGTATATCGGAATATCGAACATGCATTGTAACTTGACCCGTGAAGATCCGGGGTAGAATAGGTATTCGGCAACCTTCTACATTCTTCGTCTGTGACGCATGTTCTTTCTTGGATTAAATATATAAAGGCATGATCCGATAGATTAACTGCAGTCATGAAAGACTCGGGTGTTCTTTCACTTCTTTAGAGTAGTATATATATTCAACACATGAGACTGCTATTTCACATGGGGAGAGTTGCGCCCCTTAGATGTGCCAGAATCCTATGATCGTGGGTTCGAATGCTGGACTCACTGATTATTGATGTTACCCTGTCTGACACACGACACAGAGAAATAGAACAAGGACTGGTCGGCTCGGAGTCAATATACCGTGTCTGAATGGGGTATTCGTGTTTAACTGCAGCATGGTATCTCAGTTGGCTTAGCACTACGAAACCGGCATAAGACTAGTACAAGCAGCCACGCACATACTTGCGTGCACATATCTAAGTGTAATAATCTTGAAACCCCGTTTAACACCTCACCTCACCTCACCTCACCTCACCTCACCTCACCTCACCTCACCTCATCCAATCTCACCTCACCCAACCCCACCCCACCCGTGAACATTTGGGTTAGAATAGGTCTTCAGCAACCCATGCTTGTCGTAAGAGGCGACTGAAGGGATCGGGTGGTCAGGCTCGCTGACTTGGTTGATGCATACATCGTATCCCAATTGCGTGGATCGATGCTCATGATATCAATCACTGGATTGTCTGATCCAGACTCGATTATTTTCAGGCCGCCGTCATATAGCTGGAACATTTTTTGGGAATATTGGTGAGTGCGATGTTAAACAACAAATATAGAAAACAGAAACACTACGTTCGAATTATTATTATTATTATTGTTGTTGTTGAACTTGCTGAACTTTCATCGCCATGAGGAACATATGTTTTTTCGACGCTACCGGTTTTGTTTCCATTTGGAATTCTTATTCAAATTGCCTTGCGATAAAATAACATGTTCTGAAGATGTTAAAAGATAGTTGTCAAGTATGATTTGCTGTAAAAAACGAGAAGATAAGAGCGCTGTATATCATTCGACGAATGTTGGCAGAGTGTTTTGCTGAACGGTCGCCCCATAAGCCTATGGCATAGACACAGAACAGATCACGGAGAACGAGGGGGTCGTGATGGATGGTTACGACGGCTAAGGGGGCAAACATTGATTTTCAGTCGGGGGTCGGGGCAATTGTTTTTAATGTTTAGACACTCAATCATTTTTTTCCAATATAAACGCGTGCTCAATTACTTATTTTCTAAACTAAAAGAGACATTCCTTGGAGACCTGTCTGCAAGCAAAGGGCACATTATATTTATCCTGCAATGTCATATATGTATTTTTTCTCAGTAAAACATGGTTTGATTGTTTTTATAGACCCCCCTTAACCGAAAAGAAAATGGTTTCTCCTTAATGCGCTATAAATATCACAAGAAACATAGGCATTATTAGTTCACGTGGTGAAGAAAAGGTACATTTAATGTAACTTGATGAAAACTTGACGTTCTGAAGTACGCGCAGCGAGGTCGAACCAGCTGGTACACATTCCTTCTCGGTCTATTAATAATACACGTTTGTTTTTTGGTCTCAGGAACAAAATATTAGTTGGCGGTTTTCTCCGGTCTATTATATTTTTACTGATGAAGATTTTCAAATGTTTGGACTGACTATTGACACACAGTCAAACACCGTTGTGTCGAACTTCGATGTTTCGTACTTACGGTTGTCTCGAAGTAAAACATGGTCTCTGCTTAGTCCTCCTCTGCAACCCATGCTTGCCGTAAAAGGCGACCGTGCTTGCCGTAAAAGGCGACCGTGCTTGTCGTAAAAGGCGACTATGCTTGTCGTAAAAGGCGATCGTGCTTGCCGTAAAAGGCGACCGTGCTTGTCGTAAAAGGCGACTATGCTTGTCGTAAAAGGCGACCATGCTTGTCGTAAAAGGCGACCGTGCTTGTCGTAAAAGGCGACCATGCTTGTCGTAAAAGGCGACCGTGCTTGTCGTAAAAGGCGACTATGCTTGCCGTAAAAGGCGACTAACGGGATCGGATGGTCAGGCACCCTGACTTCGTTGATGCACATCATCGATCCCAATTGCGTGGAACGATGCTCATGATATCAATCACTGGATTGTCTGGTCCAGACTCGATTATTTACAGACCGCCGTCATATAGCTGGAATAATTTTTTGGAATATTGGTGAGTGGGACGTTAAACAACAAATTTAGAAAACAAAGGCTCACTTAGAAAGGTGGCAGCGGGAATTATGTTAAATCTTAAAGGTCGGTATTAATTTCAAGTTTTTTTGTTTTCATAATAATGTCAAAATATGACACTTATTACTCCCATGTGTTAAAAAAATTAAAACGTAGCCTCGACTATAAGTTTTGATTGAAATCTAACGTATGAATGTATGTCAACGCATCATGCATGTGACGCAGCGCAAGTATGACCAGGAACTAGTCTGCGTAAGCCATTGCAGTCCCCGGTGTGTCCTGTGTGTGAACAACAGTGACGTCACGAACAGGGGCGAGGGTGCAATTTAGTAAAATAGTTAGCAACTACGAAAGAAACACGCAGTAAAAAACACGTATTTGTTTGTTTTGTTGTTTAACGCCGCACTAAGCATTATTCTAGGTATATGACGGCGGACTGTAAATACTCGAGTCTTACCAGACAATCCAGTGATTGACATCATGATCATTGATCCACGCAATTGGGATCAATGACATGCATCAACCAAGTCAGCGAGCCTGACCACTCGATCCCGTTAGACGCCTCTTACGACAAGCATAGTCACCTTTTACGACAAGCATGGGTTGCTGAAGACCTATTCTACCCCGGATCTTCACGCGGAGGCGGTCCGTAGTCCTGATACGATTGGATCATTTATTTTTGTCCCTCATTATCTTTCTTCAAATGATAATGAACAGTTTATAAACTTCCCCGTCCATTTTCGCAAGGCCGCTACTTCTATCCCCCATATCTGGTTGGTGGGTATCCTCATGTCGTGTTTTGCATTGTAATGTAAATATTTAGTTGGATTCCGAGTGCTTCATTAGTAACACATAAATATTGA